ACCAGCACCAATGAAGGATCTTGGCAAACTGCGTCACTTTCTCGGTATGCATGTCCAGCAGTGTGGTGACGGTCTCTTCCTTTCGCAGCGGCAGTACATGCTGGATATCTTGGACCGTGCTGGGATGGCTGAGTGTAAGCCGTGTTCTACTCCAGTCGACACAAACCCCAAGGTTGTAAATTGCTTGATGGTCCTCCCGTGGTGATGCAACAGATTATCGAAGTCTTCTTTGGCGCATTCTGATGATCGACCTTCACACGGCCCGACATCGCTCAGGTTGTCCAACAAGTCCGCCTTCACATGCATGACCCACGGAACCACACTTGGCGGCACTCAAGCGCATCCTTCGCTATGTTGGGGCACTCTCCACTTGGGTCTCTGCTGCGGCCATCTCCCGCCATCGATCTTGTGGTCTACACTAACGCTGATTGGGCTGGTTGCCCGGACACGCGCGCAAGTCCACCTCGGCTACTGTTGTGTTCCTCGGTGATAATCTCGTCTCTGGTCCTCCAAGCGTCGAATCGATCTCCAGATCTAGTCTTTCAAGTCGAGTACCGCGGCAATGGCTAACGATGTTCTTTGAGGCCTCTTGGTGCGTCGGCTCTTGCTCGAGCTCCATGCCCCTTTTCGGTGGCGCTACTTTGGTCTATTGTGACAACATTAGCGCCGTCTACATGTCTTCCAACGGTTCAAACATCAGCGCACCAAGCACATCGAGATTGACCTCCATTTCGTTCGGGAGAAGGTTGTCTTTGGTAATGTTCATGTCCTTCATGTGCCAACTTCATCCCAATATGCGGACATCTTCACCAAAGGTCTTCCATCTTGGTCTTCACAGAGTTGAGTCCGGCCTTCGAAGCGTGCTTGTGATGGCGACGATCGGACTACGGAGTGTGTTAGGCGCCATATTATAATTTGTATCTTGGGTCATTAGCATTGTTGTATGGGTTGTAACGCATACAGGCTTTAATGAAGTACGCTGTGAGGCGTCCCTTGGGGTTTTATGGTAGATGATCTTGGGTTAGGCAAGGATCACCGTTGATTGGGTGTTTCTATAAACCCTTGACAATTCTTGCCTATATATATTGTATTCATTTGGTACCTCCATAATCAATCTACTGAGTTTTCCCGAGCCACCTCTTCTCTCACTTCTGAACCATTTGTTTGCTGAATTACATCAACAACAACAACAACAAAGTCTTTAAGTCACAAACAAGTTGGGGTAGGCTAGAGTTTAAACCCAGCAGAAGCAATCAAGGCTCAGGCACGTGAATAGCTATTTTCCAAGCACTCCTATCTAAGGCTAAGTCTTTGGGTATATTCCATCCTTTCAAGTCTCCTTTTATTGCCTCTACCCAAATCAACTTCGGCTTTCCTCTGCCTCTCTTCACGTTACTATCCTGGCTTAGGATTCCACTACGCACCGGTGCCTCTGGAGATCTCCGTTGGACATGTCCAAACCATCTCAACCGGTGTTAGACAAGCTTTTCTTCAATTGGTGCTACCCCTAATCTATCACATATATTATCATTCCGAACTCGATCCCTTCTTGTATGACCGCAAATCCAACGCAACATACGCATTTCCACGACACTTATCTGTTGAACATGTCGTCTTTTCGTAGGCCAACATTCTGCACCATACAACATAGCAGGTCTAATAGTCGTCCTATAAAACTTGTCTTTTAGCTTCTGTGGTACTCTTTTGTCACATAGGACACCAGATGCTTGGCGCCACTTCATCCACCCTGCTTTGATTCTATGGCTAACATCTTCATCAATATCCCCGTCTCTTTGTAGCATTGATCCTAAATATCAAAAGGTATCCTTCCTAGGCACTACTTGACCTTCCAAACTAATATCTTCCTCCTCCCGAGTAGTAGTGCCGAAGTCACATCTCATATACTCAGTTTTAGTTCTACTGAGTCTAAAACCTTTGGACTCCAAAGTCTCCCGCCATAACTCCAGTTTCTGATTCACTCATGTCTGGCTTTCATCAACTAGCACTACATCGTCCGCGAAAAACATACACTAAGGAATGTCCCCTTGTATGTCCCTTGTGACCTCATCCATGACTAAGGCAAACAGATAAGGGTTCAAAGCTGATCCTTGATGTAGTCCTATCCTAATCGAAAAGTCATTCGTGTCTCCATCACTTGTTCGAACACTAGTCACAACATTGTTGTACATGTCCTTAATGAGCCCGACGTACTTCGTTGGGACTTTACATTTGTCCAAAGCCCACCACATAACATTCCTTGGTATTTTATCTTAAGTCTTCTCCAAGTCAATAAAAACCATGTGTAGGTCCTTCTTCTCCCTATACCACTCCATAACTTATCTTATTAACAAAATGGCTTCCATGGTTGACCTTCCGGGCATGAAACCAAATTGGTTCATAGAGACCTGCGTTATTACTCTCTAGCAATGCTCGATAACTCTCTCACATAGCTTCATAGTATGGCTCATCAACTTAATTTCCGGTAATTAGTACAACTTTGAATATCCCCTTTATTCTTGTAGATCGGTACCAATATATTTCTCCTCCACTCGTCAGGCATCTTGTTCGATCGAAAAATATGGTTGAACAGCTTGGTTAGCCATACTATAGCTATGTCCCCGAGGCATCTCTACACCTCGATTGGGATACCATCCGATTCCATCGCCTTAACTCCTTTCATCCTTTTCAACGCCTCATTGACCTCAGATTCTTGGATTCTCCGCACAAAGCACCTATTGGTGTCATCAAAAGAGTCATCCAACTGAAAGGTTGTGTCCGTATTCTCACCATTGAACAATTTGTCAAAATACTCTTGCCATCGATGTCGGATCTCATCCTCCTTCCCCAAGAGATGCTCACTTTCATCCTTAATGCACTTAACTTGGTTGAAGTCCCTTGTCTTTCTCTCACGAACCCTAGCCATCCTATAAATGTCCTTCTCTCCTTCCTTCGTACTCAAATGTTGATAAAGATCCTCATACGCTCTACCCTTTGCCACACTTACAGCTCGCTTTGCAGTCTTCTTTGCCACCTTGTACTTCTCTATGTTATCCACACTCCTGTCATGGTACAAGCGTCTACAGCATTGTTTCTTCTCCTTAATAGCCCTTTGGACTTCCTCGTTCCACCACCAAGCATCTTTAGCATCGCCTCCACTTCCTTTGGTTACTCCACACACCTCTGAGGCCACCTTCCGAATGTTGGTTGACATCTTCTCCCACATGTTGTTTATGTCATCTTCTTCCTTCAAGAGCCCTCTTTGATAACCATTTCCCTGAATACCTCTGACGTCTCCCCTTTCAGTTTCCACCACTTTGTTCTTTCAATCTTAGCTTGTTTATCCCTACGAGCACCCACTTGAAAACGAAAGTCTGCCACCAAAAGCTTATATTGAGAAACAACACACTCCCCTGGTATCACCTTGCAACCCAAGCATGCTCGTTTGTCCTTTCTTCTTGCGAGGACAAAGTCAATCTGGTTAGAGTGTTGTCCGCTACTGAAGGTCACTAGATGAGATTCTCTCTTTCTAAAGAAAGTGTTGGCTATCATCAGGTCAAAAGCTACCGCGAAGTCCAGAACTTCCTCCCCCTCCTGATTCCTACTACCATACCCAAAACCTCCATGAACTGCCTCGAAACTTGCGCTTGTAGTAACTACATGCCCATTAAGATCTCCTCCTATAAAAAGCTTCTCACTACTAGATACAGCTCTAATCAGGCCATCTAAGTCTTCCCAGAACTGTCTCTTAGCACTCTCGTCGAGGCCTACTTGGGGGGGCATACGCACTAATTACGTTCAAGACCATATCACCAACAACAAGTTTGACTAAGAAAATCCTATCTCCTTGCCTTCTCACTCTACCACACCATTCTTGAGGCTCTTATCAATCAAAACTCCTACTCAATTTCTATTCGCGACTGTCCCTGTGTACCAAAGCTTGAAACATGTATTGTCCACCTCCTTCGCCTTCTGACCCTTCCATTTAGTCTATTATTCTCTTAACTTACCTGTAAGCGACCCTACATTCCAACTTCCTAAACGGATCCTAGTTGGTTCGACTAGCTTTCTTACCCTTCGCACCCGTCAACTCAGATGCGAAAACCCTTGCTCATTTTTCACTACACCCAGGCGCCAATGTAGCGCGCCACTAAGGAAGCGACGACCCGATCCTTGCTCACTTGACACCATGCCCAGATCGCGACACGGCGCGTCACCAACATATATACGGTATATATACATAGTTAGATCGATATATCGGTGAAGTTCTGTATATATGTATATAGTGGTCCGCCCTACCTCATTTCTTCGGCTGGCTCCGCCACTGATTTGTGGACTATATGGACTATTTTTGTTTTGATGGTTATTTACATTTATGCACTTTGTTTGTAATACTATTGTTGTGATGTTCTGAATTTTGCAGCCTCGAATAGAAAGAATTTGTCATCTCAATAGAATAGAAAGCAGGAAGTTTTCTATGAGACTATATTTGCCTTGAGATGACAATTTGTTTGGGATTTTGAAAATTATGAATTGTCATTAAATGAAATCGTGAATTTAAATATGTACCATTTGTATGAACAACCAATATTATAGTTTGAATTGATGTTGTGTTAAAATAATAGAATACATAGAGTATGTATGAAAATGAAGAGAAAAAGTAGGGGCCCTTGCTAGATTTGAGCTTAGAAAACATGGCACCCTCAAAGTAGGGGAGTCCTCAAATCAAAAGTAGGGGCCTTGTTTTAAGGGCTATTGCTGGAGTTGCTCTAAGTCAAGCTCGAGAGAGATGATGGAACTCCCAAACCCCACTCAGATCAGATTCTACATACAAGTTTTTTGTGCATACATTCACTAATGCACTATTATGCACTTAATATTTCCTCCATAAGAGAAGATGGCAATCTCAACGAAATTAAAAAAAAAAAGGCCTAAAATTTTTTAGCTATTGTTAGGAAAGGCATGAAACTACGATGAAGAGAACCAGAGAAACTGTGGCAAACCTGTAATTCCTTTGCTGGCGATTTGTCAGGTTCTCCACCTGCAAAGAGAGTATATATGTTAAGTTGCCTTTAACACAACACATGGACATCAAGTAGCAACTGAAGATTTTAACATTGGTCCATCATGCCAGCCCTAACAAGCCCTAACAACAGCTTTGACTTCCAACTTCCATCCAAAACGATTAGGTTTCATACAGTGCACTACTAAAAAAATCAAACTTCTTATTTCTTAATTTCAGCTGAAACACATGCATTATAATTGAGAACACAGTTAGTTATCAATGGTGATAATTCTTACTGCAAACAAATCAGCAGCTCACAACACCAGAGTTCTGCAATGTGTAGGAAAATTAGAGGCCTTATGATAGTCTCAAGGGAATTGTTATGAAACTGACTATGATATTGTGTTTACCTGCAATCAGTGGTGCTGTACTTTTCTTTGCCAACAGAAAGAAAATAATGCTGCTTTGTGCCACTTTTAATTGTCAAACTCATTAAACTGCTAAATTTGCCTGTTGCCTTCCCTATATGATCATCTTTTACTCCAGAACATAGTTTTTCTTCTCCCCCTCAAAGTGTACTACTGTTAAATGTTAGGAAAGCATGCCGTTCAGACGCGGAATAGTTTTAGCTGGCCTGTTGTCTAAAAGCACGCTTTGTTGGTCAGATATTAGTGGTTTGTTTGCCACACATGTTAAGCCCTTTGCGCTTAAATGTGTGTGCTCGTCGTTTTAATGTCCTTTAAATTTTGTTTCGTACAATTTCTTGTAATTCCATTGTTGTGAAGTAATGGAATTCAGGATGAAAAAAAATGTAATGAAGATAGGATGTAGGTCAGCAACATTTTGTATTTCTACCTACTGATAAAAACACAAATAACATGGCACTCCATTAATATCACACTCACAGAGGCGCATATAGAAATATAAGCATGTGCCTGGTTGCATGCATATGGTGCACATACAAATATGAAGAAACATGAGGCGGTTATTCAAAGCATACGCAAGCAAGAATCCAGGACTATCTGATCATCATGCCCCCCTCTAACAAGACCATGAACAGATTTCCCATGTGGTAAACTCAGCCAAGTAATGCATAGACTTGAATTAACATAAAAAAATAAAGAGGGAAAGGTTAGTTCTATCAAGATAGAGAAAGAATAGAAGATTAAGTTGCAGCCCAGGAGTTGGCAAATTCCTATACTATTAGATTCTTTATTGGTAGAGCTATACCTGCTGGTTCAAAGCGAATGTGACCAGGCCGAACCACAACTGGGACAATCTCTTCCGACGTATCAGATTCTTCCTCATCTGCTTTGAGGCTTGAAAAATGAACATGTGATCCATTTTGATTGCTTGATGGGACAGGCAAGCCATCTTGATTGCTTGATGATGGAAAATCAGCAGCTATTGGTGAATCTTCATGCACATTCTGCAGTATACATACATGAATATATTGATCAGCACAAGTGCACAACATAATATAGCAGCTTGGTCAACAGAACATTCAGTCAGCTATTGGAATGTTGTTCCAAGTGCAAACTGCAAACCATGAAAGTCGATGCATCCAACAACCGGAATACAATAGAATAATAATGTTTTTGTCAATAAACTGCAGTAATTTTCTCCACTAAGATTTCACATAAACCAAGAATCTAACCCTCATCCCTGCATGTCCACATGTGCAACTCCTACAACGTCTCTGCCAATCGTCAGACACCCCACCATATTGTCTCCTTCACTAAGGGAGTAAAGTATGTACGGGGGACACCAGCAAAGAGATATATTCCATCTAGATGGGGGACGTCCCCGTACCTCAAAATCTGGAGGACAAGCTCGTCCCCTCCCGACGCCGTTTGAGTCCGTCTGTGTGGGCATCCTCTAGACATGTGAGCGGGGAGCAGATGGGCAGCACAGTGGCGGAGTAGAGAGGCGGCAGCTAGGTGGGGGCAGTGAGAGGCACAGATCCAGGTCAGCGCAGAGGAGGGCCGCTGTCACTATGGGCGGGCGGGCGGGCGGGCAGAGGTGCACCGCCAGGTGGAGACAGGCTGGTGTGCATGCAAACGAGGGAAGGGAGGAAGAAGTAAAAGGTGGCTGATATCTGGGGCCCACGTTGACGGCAACCAACGGATCCAAAACAGTCCATCCATCCTCTCGCTCTCCATCCCTCCTACCAAACGCAGAACAAGGACGACCCCATCCCCTCAACCAAGCACAGATGGGATCATCCCAACCCAGAAAACTAGAACGGAACTGTTCCGTCCTGTCCCACCTTGTCCCCAGACCAAACACTACCTATCTTTTGACACATTCAAGACATAGATGCTTTGAGTTCTGAACTTCTGCTACAGTACGCTTAGGCAGGCCTAGTAACCCCCAAGCACACTTAAGCTCTAGGCAGAAGGTCACCGCTCACTTAGCGCCTAGCGCTTTTAGGAACCTTGCCCCAAAGAGGTTGTGTACCATTGGTCTTATTGCTGTGAACTTAGTTCGGTGTGGGTTGTGTGTGCATTTTGTGTGGTGTAGTACATTTCAGTATTCCTTGACAAAACGACAGCTCTCCTGCGCCGTTTGAGAAAAAAATACCTTTTCTGATTGTAATTTTCCTGTCTGTCTCATTAGCCTTTTAATTTTCTTGCGACGAGCACTTCGACTCTCCAACTGACAAGGCAAAAATACAAAGCAAAGAGAGATACAAATGTTAACTAAATTAAAATATTTTGGCATAACTGTTACATCATAAATTAAGAACTGAAATTTCTATATTGATTAACAAATCAAATGAAGGGGAAATGGAACAGAGTAAAGTCCAGTATCAAATCTTAATAATAAAAAAAAGGGCGTACTCAGTGCAGAGAGCTCCCGCTCTGTGCGGGGTCTGGGGAAGGGTGTTAGTGGCAAGCCTTACCCTCGCCTGTGCAATGCAAGGAGGCCGCGACTCGAACCGGGGACCTTCCGATCACAGGCGGTAAGACTCTACCGCTTGCACCAAGCCCAGTATCAAATCTTAATGAAGCTGGGAAACGTATGGGCTCAGCATGCAGGAATGAACAAGATAGGACTATGGGGGGGGTGGACTTAGCCTTACCAATACAATAAACAAAACTACAAAAGATAACCAACAACTTAGCCTTACCAATACAATAAACAAAACTACAAAAGGTCACCTGAATCAAGTATATGTGAAAGGGTTCTGGAACAACAAAAGTACATAGATAGGTAACATCTTCAGGGATACAAGGCATGGGCTAAGAGCACATTCAAGAACTATTGCAGCAGCACATGACTACTAACTTGGTTTTGCCAGGCATTGCGTTTTAGAGTAGCTTCATTAGAAACACATTTATGGCACCCTTTTGGAAATATTGGATTATTAGCAATAGCAGACTACCTCAAAGATACATGCAGACAGTTCCACTACATTTTTTAAAACAATGTAATTGTGTTTCACTAAACTAATTGCAAAACAAGCTAAGGTGAGCTTGATGTTGCTCCAACATTTTTTAAGGACCTCTGTTGTACTTCATTTTGCACTTCTGCTAAGTGAAAACCTCTTTTAATGAACTAGTCCCAGAAGACCAACAAACAGTTGGGTCTAAGTAAAAATGAAGGACCAAATACAATGTTAGCTTTCATCCTGATTAAGAAAGGGTGTACTGGCATCAAACTTTTAATATAAATAAAGGCAGCAAATATAAGAGGATTGAAAGCCTGACAAAAAGGCCCAAAAACATGTTTTATTATTATTGTAATATAATATTGATTCCTAATTCCTATTATGCACACATTTGGGACACCATTTATACCAGCATATCAAGCAGGCCAGCCTGACAAGCCCAGAAAAGTAGGACTCTGGCAGGAGCTGCCCATTGCCTGCATTTCCTTTTCCATATAAAACAGCAGAATGAAAGGAAAATTATCGAACTACTCGATACAAGACAAAAAAAACACATGAAAAGATAGCATTAAAACGTAGACATGAAAGATATTTGAAATTTGACATAATGCATATTTTGCAATGAGGTAAAATAGATTAGCCATCAGCATCATAATGGATTATACTTACCATCTATGAATAAAAAATTGGAGAGCATAACACACAACCAGGAAATTGGATATAATCAAGCAGAGTCAAACACTCAGCACATCAAGAGCAGCATTATGACTCATGCATACCTTTTTTGTGTCACTTTGAGCATTATAGTCTACCACCTCTGCCTCACATTTCAACTCAGTTTGATTGTTCCTAAAAAAAACATAATATGAATTGCATGCAGTGAAATGATAGAACAAACAAGGACCGATACAGTATATAAGCCCTTATAGATCCCTGCTGTGGTCAATATATCCCTACATCTCATTTTTGTTTACGGACCATGCCATGTACAAACACTCCCCAACTCCATAAAATGACAAAATAAACTTAACATGCGGTTTGCCACTCCTGTCGCATTCACTCACTCCTCACATGTCCTCGTGTTATGTTGAAGACTATCCTGTGTGGTCTTTTTTCATGAGCATGTCTGGTTCAAGACTGATCTTACCACCACTATACTTAAGGAGCGCAGCGCAAAACACTTTTTGATATAACAATTGATGAAATCATCACGACAATGAGGCAAATTTGGGAAAGAAATTGGAAACTTTCACATTTTTTAGAGCATAAAAAAGAGCCTCTGGCACGTAGGATCGCTACAGATATAACAGTGGACCACTGCCTCAAAAAGTCAAATCTGTCTTAATTCGATCTTGGCAAAGTTTGCCCATGAACCAAACAATGCAATATGACAAAAAGCAGGGACTTATAAACAGGGTTCTAAGTAGCTATCTATAGATCTTTACGGTCCTTGTTGTGAAGTAGCAAAAACAACAGGAACCCTAAATATCTACACTTCTACAGAATAGCTAGCTATGTTTACACTACATAGTATAGCTGTGCAATAGCCTTTCTGAAGCTATACTGGGAAGCCACGAGAACCACAATTTAAAGGGGTATACTGATTTACACCATTCTAATATACACAAAATTTACTTATTGTTATGCCAAATTTTTTAACAATATTGTGATTTTTATTGAATTGTTCTTAAGATTAACATGGTTGATAATCAAAACAGAATCAAATACAATGCAAAATCGTGATAAAAGTATTACTGAGATCAACTATGTCATTTGTAAGATAAAAATATATTATGTTGGTGTGGCTTTCCATTAAAATCTTGTTCATATTAAGACTGTTACAATTAAGGATCTTGTAGACATAACCAACAAAGTGGATTGCCACATGTTGCTGGCGCTCGAAACTTTCTGGTTATGACTTATGATAATTTGTTTTCCAAACAGACAACTAATTTGCATTTCAAAAACAGAAATAACAAGTTTTGGATCAGAATTTAGCAGAAATTAGGCATTAAAGGAGAGGCACTGGAAGTAGGAAGCAACCAACCCAACAAGCTATTAACCTAAACTCTAGAATAAGTGATAACTAGGGTTAAACTCGCTAGGAACGAACTGCTACATGTTTTTAAAACAACACATAACAACATGAAGATAAACAACACAGGAATACAATTCGAACTGGTTATGGTCAATGGGAACAAAACTAAAACTATTTCTCAAACCAGAGTGCCTTATAAAACTTAAAAGCAGTAACTGGCATATGCCTTGAGATAATACCCCTCTGATTTTTGCTGCTCCACCAAGGTAGCGGTAGTTTCATGTTGTGGAGTTGCTTTCTTAGCTTCAATACCAATAACTGATAACTTCAACTTTTTAGATCCACTCTGTTCCTCCTTGCTGTAATCTATCTGCTTTCCAGAATTTTCCACCTTCAGCCTTTTTCCCCTGCATCTAAACACCGATGAAAAAGGATAGACATATCACTTAACAGAATATAGATGCAGACATCAATAATTGTTTCATGATTCTAACAGAAAACTTTCATAAGAGCGCAAGTCAGACTATTTGGGTGAGCAAAGCTGGTTTTGGGGATTCAAGAACTCATATAACCCAGTAAACCAGAAAAATGGAGAAGACGTCCGACCAAAGTGATGTTCCATAGTTGGAAAAGAAAAATGCTCATACTACAACAAACATATAGAAGCATACTTTGAGCTCTCAGGTATTTCTGCAATCCCGTCATTCCACTTCCTCTTCGAACTTGTCCCATTGTTTTCTATGCTATGGCTAGCAGTGGCATTTTCTTCAAGCTGGTGATCATGTGCCTCTTCTTCTTGGTGTTTACAGCCATCCTTTTGATCCTGGATTGCAAGGATTCTGTCATCAACTGGAAGTGGCCTCTTCTCTATTATCTCATGATCTTGAATACAGTGCACATCATTGTGCCCTACCTGCTTCGTGCAGGATTTTTGTTTAACCCTAGCAATACAAAAGAAAATTGGGGATTGTTGTCATCATTTCTGTGAGAAGTAGCCCACTGTTCTGTACTAAAGAGATGCATGATGCAAGGAAATATATAATCAAATATAAGGGATGATTTTTCTGGTAGCTAAAAAATAACTGAGCCTTTCAGTGTAACCTTTTTTATGAGCCAAGAAGGTATTACTAATTCAAATACACCATCACTCATTCGATACTGCAGCTCTATGTTACCACTCGACATTATCTGGTCTTCTGTAATACACAATGACCACATTTGACTTCAAAGGAAATAGCGACACCATATCATCCAGATTGCACAGCAAGTAACGACGGAATGAAAGATAGTAGACAGGAATAAATCAATCAAACATCCTAAGCTCCTACTCATGCTACCCCTCTTCCCGATAAGCCCTTTCTTCTTCGCCATCGACTTTAACACACGATCGCCGTCAACACACCTCTGCACCTCGCTCACTACGATGATTCGACAACCCTACTACCATTCCCGTGCGGTAGGTGGCCTTCATGTAAGCCCCTGTTTGGATCCATAGAGCTAATAGTTAGCTGCTAATAATTAGCTCCTTTGGATCCAAACAGGTCCAGCGAATAGTCTAGTTAATTGTTAGCTGAATACCCAACTAACAACTATCTCACTAGTTGGGCCAAACAGAGTTAACTATTAGCAGCTCATGGATCCAAACAGAGATGAAGGTGATAACATAGATTTTAAGCATATGATCCGATGTACAATATTGCTTGCCATATGAATGTCCCTGATTTTCCAAACAACTATTATTCTGGGACATAATGGATTCACTAGTGTTTATATCTGTTTAGTTGTTTACTTACCAAGATGGGAATGGTACAGAATCGTGGTAATGAAACCTAGCACCCTGGAGGGCTCAGGCAGATAGATTCCCAGGCATCGATCTGCACCCCAGGCGACCGAAATCAGGCACCTGGGGATGCACGGTAAGCCAATCTTGCCTGGGCATGAAGCAAATATGCCCAGTGCATTTCACATAGTTCTCTGGGTAGACACAATCCCACATCCCCAACCTTTCCTCTAAGCCAAGTGCCGAAATATCAAGATGATATAGTGGGAAAAGGGAATGACAAAAGATATCGAAAGAACGAATTAGCTCACCAAAGGCAACAGTTACCTTATAATATCGTTGTCCCGGAAGATGCAGGTTGACTCAAATGGTGGCAAGGTAAACCCATCCATCTGCGCACAAGAGACCATTTCATTCATGATTTATGCACAATGCTCGTCTTCGTACAGAATATAGATATAACAAAGAAATGGAAGGGAAAAATCAGGAAGAAATGAAGCATCAATGGTCCACACGGAAAACCCTCAAACATTGTTGTACGAAGCCATTGATTTTGGGGAAAACCCGCAAGAATGAAGCAATCAAGGTTTCGGGGTAGGGTACCCTGCATAAATGGGGAGGGGGAAAAAGAGAAAGGGGACCAATAAAGGAAGAGAGATGACCAGGCGACGTACCGAGAGCACAACGCCCCAAGGGCAGGTGCGGCGGAGGCGGAAACGGGCTGCGACATGAGCGGCGAGGTCGGCGACGGTGGCGAGCTCCGGGCTAAGGAGAAGCCAGCAGCGCCGAAGGCCTTCATCCCTCTGCACACGCCGGAGGAGGCGGCTGTTTTCGAAGAGCAGACGGAGCCTCACCGGGGCGGGCACCGCAGGCGGCGGCCTCGCCATTGGTGGGTGCCGGCGGTCGGAGGAGGAAGGGTTTTGGGTTTCTTTCCCAACCTTTTTTTCCTCCTTTTTTCAGTGCCTGTTTATTCCTAAATTTTGCAAAAAATTTTAAGATTCTCCGTCACATCGAATCTTTGACGCATGCATGAAACATTAAATATAAATAAAAAATAAAACTAATTACACAGACGAAATTCACGAGACGAATCTTTTAAGCCTAATTAAACTATGATAAAACATTAATTACCAAATAATAATGAAGGTGCTACCGTACCAATTTCTAAAAAATTTCGCCAACTAAACAAGACCTCAGTCTCAGGGGTTTGGATTTTGGTGGAGCCGGAGCCAGAATTGCGTTTTTTTACGAGGAGAGTGGTTTATACTAAGATTGTCAGGTCAGTTTTTATGTTGACAACTGTGCCGATGGATTTTACCCAGAGAGCAAGTATAATAATAATAAGCTATAAACACGCTGGAGGCTAAGGTGGATGAGAGAAAAGAAACGGGTTGTAAGTTTACACTTAAGAACCAAGAATTTTTTGTACGAGAGACAAGTGAACCATATATTAATAACGAAGTGTGCGAGAAACAAGTGAACTATATACTAATAATGGAAAAAGTCTACTTAACTCCTACCTTTCATACTTTATCTACTTCACCCCCAACTATGAAACCGTCTGTTTTACCCCCTGAAAACCGTCTATTTTACCCTCCGGACGGTTTTCAGCGGCGGTTTTGCTACAGTAACAACGGGTTGCTATAATAACGGTGGGTTTGCTACCGTGCCGGTGGGTTTGAATTTTCTTTTTTTTTAATTTATTTTCGGTGAATTTTTAAAAAAATATAGTAAATCATAGAAAAATCATAAAATAAAAAATCTAATTTTATTGGACTCCACATGAGTAGATCTACACAGTGAATATATAATATGGTATGCTTTAGTATAATTTTTTACTGTAGCATTAGATTAATTGGAAAATCTAATTTTGTCTGTAATTAATTGGAATAATTCATAGCTGCAGCTTCTATGGTCCAATTGTGGTGAAATTTTTATGGTACGCTAATTATTATATGCTTGAACTATAGTAAAAATTTCGTACTCATGGGACTATGTATAACTTAGTTATAGATAAATTCTAATTAATTACAAAAAAAATTGGATTTTCCAATTAATCTAAAGCTACAAAAAAAAAATTTGTACTAAAGCATACCGTATTATATATTCACTGTGTAGATCTACTCATGTGGAGTCCAATAAAATTAGATTTTTTATTTTATGATTTTTCTATGATTTACTATAATTTTCCAAAAATTCACCGAAAATAAATAAAAAAATTCAAACCCACCGTTACTGTAGCAACCCCTCTGTTACTGTAGTGACCGTCGCTGAAAACCGCCCGAGGTAAAATAGACGGTTTTGGAAAGTTCAGGGGATAAAACAGACGGTTTCATAGTTTGGGGGTGAAGTAGACCAAGTATGAAAGGTGGGGGGTTAAGTAGACTTTTTCCTATTAATAATAAAATACTAACGACTATATCAATGGACTGAAAGATAGGCTGCAAAAATTTTTATGACCAGCAGTCGGCTGTATTATTAGTCTTGCTCTCTATGAAACTCTCTTTATCTTTCTCTTTATAATTAACTAGCTAAGTCATCAAATTTGTTGACGTGTCATGTTATTAAATACAAATAAAACTCAAATGAAACTGTCACTAATACTGGCCTAAGATACACCTTCTTCTCTTTGTTTGTCTTAATAAAGTAAAGGGCCGCACGCTTCTTAGAGCGCTAAAAAAACTTGCTCCTCGAAAATGAAATGGGGTGTGAGTGCATGAGGCCTGGACGAATAGTTGATACAGACGGATTTGTTTGTGCTTTCCATCTGATGCAGCTTTTGCACCTATCTCAACAAAGCTTGGTCCAATTTAGATGGTACAATCACCTTATTTCAGACAAACAAAAAGACCCTATATAGGTGCTGGTGGCTCTGGCTCTTCTTTGACAACCACTGTATCAGCACTGTTTACCACCGTAATGCGGGGGGGGGGAGGGAGAGGTGAAGCCACGATTTCTAACTCCTCCGACTTTGGCTCTACATGCTACAGTATTGCTATAGTGGTCCAGTAGTGACGGAGTCAGAGTTCAAACAACCCGTAATGTGTGTTTGGTTGTCGAATGGAGGTTGCTCTCTTCGTTATAAAATAAAGGTACATCTCATACTTCAAGGAGTCTATGAATCCTAAGTTTGATCAAATATATACAAAATATACTCATATTTATTATACTAATAAATATCATTAGATTAATTATGTCATATATTTTCATAGTAAACCTATTTTGATATACAAATATTGATATTATTTTCTATAAATCTAGTTACATCTAAGTTTTGGACAAAGGGAGTATTGTATATCTTGGGTGAGGAGGTGCAGGCTTAGTGGAACCATATTTTAGAAAAGAGAGTGTTTGCTGAAGTTGAATGAGTAGATGAAAAAAAATATGATGCTATTTGGTTGCCTGCATGAGTTAGATGCAGCATGTCTGTGCTGTGAGACTTACGGCGGACCGCACATTCCATCCCTATATCTATTGGGTCTGGCTTGGTACTCAAGCTCAAAATGGATGGCGAGTGGACGCAGCAATTGGGCATACAAATGCACGGGCAAATGCAAGCAGCTACAGTGAAACCATCCATCCAAACACGCTTCTTCCAAAGTTTATACACATCCACTTGTGCAGGTTGGCTGCATGCAGCCATCAAACACCGCTCCGACATGCGCATTCCGCAGCTGGAGCCGAAGCTCTTCGGGCGGAGCCAGTTTTTCGTGGCTCCACATGCGCACACAAAAACGGCTCTGGCTCCATGTTTTACCGCCTAGAAGCGTTCCTCCATGCGAGGGCATTCGGTGCGGCTCGACCTGCTTCGCACATGGAGCCAGTGGAGAAGCCTATGTGAGAGCCACACAAAATGAGCCCTAAACCTGCTCCTATCACTTTTTGTCTATATGTTTGTTCTTTTATTGAGAAATAACTTGATTGCCTAGTTGTTTTATAGGAAAAGAAAAAAAAGGTCTAGTACTTTGGACTCTAACAATACTCTAAGACATCAACAACAATATCTACATCTTTGGCCACATAATCTCTTGTTAGTCGAGGGCCAACAATAAAGAGGATGGCAGCTTCTACTTCTACTCCAATCAATACAGGGCCCACAACAAGGAGCAAGACAACATCATTAGAGATATCACCATGAGGCATCGCGGGAGGCTCATCATAAACTAGGACTTAGATGCATGTGCTACTTAAGGCACAAGTTAGGCCTTTCACTATGTCTTTCAAACTACTATTGTAATTTGATGGGGAAAGCTTGTTCTATGCTTATGTAATTGGATCAAGGAAACGAGTAAAAAAAACAATTTGAACAGATAAATAACAGAACAACGATCACATTCACAAATCAGGAGGATTGAAGCCAGTGACCGTAGCCCATGAATTAGTGATTTGGATTTGGTTTTAACCGTACATTCAATCCTACTATTATTGTTTATTCCTAGCAAAACACAAGCTGCATCCGTCTCCTAACGGTGCCTTCCCATCCATTCAGTTTGATCGGTCAGTCTTTGTTCTTGTTTTCTTTATGTTACAACACTACCCAAAACCATATATATGGTATTTAGCCCTCTTTGGCAGGGCTATCCCTGGCTCCGGCTCCATGCTACAGTGCCAGAGGAGCCAGAGCCAGAGGAGCTAGAAAACGTAGCTTCTTTAGGCTCCTAGTTCATTTCGTGAGGAGAGAGAAAAACGGCTTCCTGCGACAGTAGCTGGTTTACGAGAAAGCCGGAGCCCCTAGAAGCCTTGCCAAACAGACTCTTAGCCAATATGCATAATTGGTCGTTTGTATGGCATATATTTCATCTGCATAGTGATAGCTCTTGACACAACAAGGAAGATAGCTCAGCCGATCGATATCCAATTAGATAAAATTCCTATTTTGGGTTATGAATAGAAAAAACAAAAGAAAATAAATAATTTAATGATTTTTTTCTAAAAAATCCAAGATTTACTTAATGGTTGATAAGTTAAAGAATGAAAATGTGGTTTTATAAAATTTGTACAACTTAATGAAAATGTCTTTGTTGCATTCATGCCTCTGCATTAGTTTTATTTTGTGCGAAATGAATATCTTAAAATTCGATTAAAGACACGAATAGGTTTTGTTCCAATTTCAAAAAAAACTTCAGAATTATGTTCAGAAAATTATCTAAAAACAGGCTCCAGTTTGAAAAAACTTTTATAATGTATTTTAAATATGTTTTAGAGCATGTTTAGAAATGGGTTTTAATTTTCAAAATGGTTAAAAATAGAAAATCCTGTTCTTTTTTTTGTGAGAAACAGAAAAGCCTTTTCTTTTCTTTATTTCTGTTTCTCCCCTGTTTTTGGCCCGCCCCAGCTCTCGACCAGCTCGTCCGGGCCCATGGCGGACTCCCTCTTCATGGGCCGGCCCAGCAGCCAGAGCATGCTATCCCTCCCTTGTCTCACTGCCGCGCTGGGCCTGCGTGTCAGCGCCCTTCTTTTCTTCCTTCCACGCGATTCAACTTGGAAGTTTGGAACCCAGGCACGCATGCCGAGAGGACTTGCTAGAGAATTGGAGTTGACGTCGGCACGTCGCCCATCCACACAGTAGCCCCAGGCCTGTGACCTTTTTCCTCCACACGGAAATCTCCTCGAGTACCTCATCGCCGCTCTCTGTTTCCAATCCACCGATGACCTTGGCTTCACCGTCTGCCGCCTTGAATACGACCAGAGCCGCGCCACAGGAGTGCGCGTGAAGGGGCTTCCCTTCCTGTGAAGGTGTCGGCCATGGATCGGCGGCATGGCCGATAAGGTATGCTGAGCAGGCGATTCCGCGGTGGGCGGGCATCCTCGCGCGGGCGGTTGGACGCGCGAAATGGAGCGGTGGAATACGGATCCGGGTTGCCTCCAATGACGCGGCCTGGCCTGG